CCTCTGGTCCATGTTCTGGAGCACATACATGTTTTGGAACACCTTGTGTAATGCGTAAAAGTAATACATACATCATCACAAGCTGTAGCTCCACCTAGTGGTGTTTGAGTATGCATATTTTTTGTCCGTGCATTGTGTGGATCAGGGTGAATTCAGAGTTTTATGAAACAGTGCTGGTGATACATTTTGTTGACTCTGGCTAGGTTACTTATATGTGTAATTCCATTTCAAGGTTTACATCGCACTTTTCTGACTGCCTGGTGAAGCCCAGTCTCCCCTCTCCAATTCATTTAATGTCTTGATTCTGGAGCTGTTTGCATTATTCAGTGTTATGTACATACCTGTTTATAGAATGGCTTACCTTTTTAACCCTGAAAAGAGGATGAGAGAGGTGAGACAGTGGACCTTCCTGTACATGCATGGAGTCTGCTCTTGATAAACTCTACTGAGAAAACCATGCTAGGGTTGGAGTTATGAGCTTGATGAGGGACTTTGAATGTAAGGACTTGTTACTGGTGTTTAATTTTTGTAACTTTTATGTCAATTTATGTTTTTGTGGAATCCACATAGTGTTTTTTGCAGCTGTTTATCACAATTAATGTAAAGTGTCTTATATTTTACACTTGTTTGTATTTTTGTTTCTGTGGTATTAAAAAATGTCCTCCTTCTCCTAGGTGGCCAGGGATGTGGATGGCCAGGGGAACTACGTGATGCTGACCCACAAACATGTTGCTAATCTGCACCCGTCCTCTGTGTACTACAACCGATCACCTCCGCCCAGCTGGGTCCTGTATCATGATTTCAGCATTTCTCAAGATAACTGCATCAGTGTGGCCACAGAAATACTCCCCGAAATGTGAGCACCCCCTTTCCACAAGTCCCCAGATGCCGACTCGATGAGTCCAGTTCCTTTATCCCCAAACAGTGACCTCATCCCAGGCCATGTAAACCAATATGAAGCCCCATGCCCGGAACCTAGGGATTTGCTTACTCAGCAGTAAATTATTGTGCAATGGCAATTGGATTTCAAAAATTGGGATAAAATATCCAAATTGGCAAATATGTTTAATTCTGCCAACCAGGAATTGTACACCTCTCTTCTTACTCGTTCACTCACTTTTTCTTGTATCTCTTTGGTAATTCTGATGACTAGGTATTTGTCTTTCTTTCTTCCCCTGTGTTTTCTAATATAATGTCACTTCCCTTTTCCTCCTTTCTCTGTCTGTCCTAATATGATGTCACTTTCCTTTTCCTCCTTTCTGTCCTAATGTGATGTCACCTCCCTTTTCCTCCTTTCTGTCCTAATAGGATGTCACCTCCCTTTTCCTCCTTTCTGTCCTAATGTGATGTCACCTCCCTTTTCCTCCTTTCTGTCCTAATGTGATGTCACCTCCCTTTTCCTCCTTTCTCTGTCTCTCCTGATCTGATGTGACCAGCCTTTTCCATCGGTCTCTGTCTTAAGGTGGTCTCTGTCTTAAGGTGGTCTCTGTCTTAAGGTGGATCTGATGTGACCAGCCTTTTCCTCCTTTCTCTGTCTCTCCTGATCTGATGTGACCAGCCTTTTCCATTGGTCTCTGTCTTAAGGTGGTTTCACCCCCCTTTTCCTCCTTTCTCTGTCTCTCCTGATGTGATGTTAACTCAATTTTCCTCCTGTTTCTCCCCCTACCTTCCTGTTTACATTCCTTATGTGCTGTAACCTCTCATTCTTTCTTGTCTCTTTTAGTCATGGTGGGTGGTGAGACACTTTCTTTTGTTATCCTAAATAAGGCAGATTCTTCTCTCAGTTTTTCATCTTTCTACTTGATTTTTTATCTCTTCTTACTTTTCAGGTTGGTAGAATGTGCTCCCCAATATTACCTCAGTAACCTACCAGCCAGCGAGAGCCGAGACCTGCTCATGGAACTGAGAGAAAAACTGCAGGAGGAGGAGGCCCTGGGGGCCCCAGGTGGAGCAGGCGAGGATCCTCTGGCTCTAGGGGAGGAAGCAGAAAAGGACACCTGCTGTCTGCAGTGAACCTTCTAACCAGACGTTTTCTTAAAAAGTCCACTGTACGAAGCCAAGGATATTGCTACCAATATCTATGTAAGGACCCTGCTTATCATATCTCCAGTTCCAGATTGGTGAACGATACAAACTAGTTTGAGCTTTCTTGTGTTTAAGTTGGAGGATGTATCACACTGGCAGGAAGAGAAAGTTAAGAAATCATAATGGCAAGCTCTGGTGCAGGTCCTCAGGCTGCTCATTGGATTTTATGAAGACTGAGGCACTAAGAGGGCTCCACAATGACTGGGGCTGTTACTCCATTTTAGCCATGTGCGATCACTAGATAAAAACATCTAGATTTTGTTTTGGTTTAGCCCTTGGCTGTATATCACACCTGGCTGTATGTCCTGCTTCAGGAAGAAAACCACCATCTATAAGAGCTGGGTCAACATTGGTCTTCTTATGGAATGCTAGTGAATGTGTGCACTACTTGTTTGTAAATTGGGCTGTGACTAACCAGGACTTGCTTTGGGCTACCATATAATGCTGAGGTAATCGGGGATTACCTTTTTCCAGGGGGAGTAGGGGGAGACTTGATTTGGATAATTCATTTCTCAAGCGTCTAGAAGTTACCTACCACGATCAGGTGTCAAAACACAAAAATCTTACAATGTAAAGCTACCCAAACAAGACAACTACACATAATGTAAAAACCTAATAAGACCCCACCGTTCCTATGATTTGTGCAATATATAATATATTCAACACGGGTGACATCTTCAAAAACTCTAAATAAATGTTGTCTAATTAAACTGTCTTTGTATTTCCTTAAGGTGAGGAGACCTGTAATAGACCAGTGATAGGTACAGTTATAGGGTGAGGGTCCTGTAATAGACCAGTGATAGGTACAGTTATAGGGTGAGGGTCCTGTAATAGACCAGTGATAGGTACAGTTATAGGGTGAGGGGTCCTGTAATAGACCAGTGATAGGTACAGTTATAGGGTGAGGGTCCTGTAATAGAGCAGTGATAGGTACAGTTATAGGGTGAGGGGTCCTGTATGAGAGCAGTGATAGGTACAGTTATAGGGTGAGGGGTCCTGTAATAGAGTAGTGATAGGTACAGTTATAGGGTGAGGGTCCTGTAATAGAGCAGTGATAGGTACAGTTATAGGGTGAGGGTCCTGTAATAGAGCAGTGATAGGTACAGTTATAGGGTGAGGGGTCCTGTAATAGACCAAAGGGATAGGTATGTAGCTATAGGGGTGAGGGGTCCTGTAATAGAGCAGCTGAGCAGGGTACAGCTGGTAGGGTGAGGGGTCTGTAATAGACCAGCGATAGGAACAGTTATAGGGTGAGGGGTCCTGTAATAGAGCAGCGATAGGTACAGTTATAGGGTGAGGAGACCTGTAATAGACCAGCGATAGGAACAGTTATAGGGTGAGGGGTCCTGTAATAGAGCAGCGATAGGTACAGTTATAGGGTGAGGG